TTCTTATTCTCTCTCCCGCAGTGGGGCATGGACAAATTTCTGGCCGAGTGATAGAGATATATATATATATAGTGCGACTAGCTTGATACATACATATAACTCTCCCCTTAATTAATTTCATATGAAAATATATTTTAAGTAATTTATGGATCTATTTTTAACGATAATTTTTGCTTTAATTTGAGTTTATTTTTTGTGGATTTTAGGCAATTGCATTTCTCTGTGTGTACTTGATGACCATAGAGTATATATGTACATATATTTACATATAGTATATTGTACAGGAGGGACACGTGGTATAAATCGTATGTATATCACTGTGGCCATCAGTATCTTGACAGGTGCCGACAACACACGGCACTGCCACCGCCACTGCCACTGGCAAATGTCAATTCTTGTCAAAACAATTTTCTTGCCTCGGGGCTACGGGGAGGACAAACGAATTACGCAAGACCTTCGCTTATACATATTGCTTAGAGTATATTATATATAGAGTATTTCTGATGGAGTAGGGTAAGTAGGGTTCCGTTCTTCTGTTGATGGCTTCATTTACATTATTTGGGATAACTTTTGCTTTCGTTTTTGGCTCCGACTACCGACTACCGACTGCCGACTGCCGCCTGTCCATCATCTATTGTTACTTTCGCGTGTTCTTTTGGACAGTTCCTCCAGGATGGGATGAAGGAGGACGGCTCGGCGGCTTCGTGGATAAGTCAGACCCATATCGAAAATGTCAGAATTGTTTCAGTCTCAGTCTCAGTTCTTTTATTTGCCAACTGCTTTTTATGCCCTCACTTCGTCAATCCCATAGACAGCTAGACAAGAGTTTTCAAGCAGAGAAAAAAAGTTCTGTGGAAAATGTGTTTGGGGGAGATTTTTCTGAGATTTGGAACTAGAAGCGGAAGGAGTTCGGTTGACACATTCTTAAATTACCATTCAATCACAATCACATGAAGTGTCTAAAATGTCCTAAAGCAATATCTGTTTTCGAAATGTTTTTGCAGACATACTATACCCAAGATGATCTCCAATCTTCTGAGCAATTAAATCATTTCGTTGCAAATTAAAACCCTAAATGGAAGGTGCATATTCTAGACTCAGTCCTGGGAACGAAGGAAATTATTATCAAAGATGTTGCTTACATTTGTTTAGTTTAGATAGTTTTAATGAATTCACTTTTCTTGGTACTTTTTCAATTTAAGCTAAAAGTTTTGAAGATTATCCTTTGCAACGAACTCAAAGAAAAATTGTGATCGGTTCCATTAATATAGGCTTTTATTCTGGCTAAAATCTGTCTCGCCCTCTTCCAGTGTGGCTTAGTAGTAGGTGGGTGGGGCGCGCACCACCTCACCATCTATCTCTCCGTCTCTCTGTCTTCCAGTGAATCGTTTTTCCACTAGTGCAAGAGGTACACTTAATCATATAGTTTTGCCATTTGGATTCCCGGGCTGACCCGCAAAAGTACCGCTTAATATATTAGATGTATTTCAAATTGAGATTTGCCTTTATTGAGCGGTCAGTTTCCTTATGAAACTGCTGGAGCACTGGCTTCTCATATCGTACACTTTCTGTGTGCTCGGGCCCTTTTTGCCCTTTTTGTGAGCCGCTGGCAATTGTCGGGTAGTCGGGCTGTCGGGTTGGGGCTTCCGTACAATTAGACTGTGATGTGACCCCTCAACTTTCAGCGCAGCCTTTTGGCCGAGGGCCGTGTTATCGCATCCTTTTTAGAAAATGTGCTAACAGCGCTTCTGACGAATGCAACGAGGTCGTCATTGAGGTGAGTCGCCGAGTCGACTCAACTCAAGTGGGGTGGAGGTGGAGGTGGAGGTGGACTGGCATGGTGGGTGGCACACTGGGATTCAGTTGGCAGTCGGGAAGCGGAATAATGTTTTGTGCCCGAGCATTGTGTACAGGATAAAACTGTGGCTCTGGGGCCACTTCTGGGAGGAGACCCAAGTTAACGATTTTCTTTACCTCTCTGCCCCCACAGTTGTTGTTTTTCCCATCCTCCGTCCTTTCATTTTCTTTCCTTTTTTTTGTTTTGGAATGAAATTTATGTAGAGGGTCTTCCCGCACAAAGGACGCACAGGACGCCCGTCCAGTGGCCCCTCTGCCTGGCTGGCCTGGCCTCTGATTTTGAGTTGTGCAATAAATTTTTATCTGTACATGCGAACGGTTTGCGACCTGTTCCGTAGAAGCATTGGAAGGAAGGGGTTCTCTGGGTTCTCTGGGTTCTGAGGGAACTGAGGAACAGCCCATTAAACAACGCTGTCAGGTTTGAATGGCCAGAACCTGAAGCGACGACGACGACCATTACACAATAGATTTTTCTTCAGCTTCTGTATGCGGACACGGATACGAGCCGCCGCCGCTTGGCACTGGCACTGCTACTGCTACTGGCTCTGGTGTTGGCTTTATTGTTATTGGCCATCCTGTGCTGTGTGTTGAGGGCCATGTTTTAGCGCCTGAGTGACCCAATGACATCTGGGTCACCTGGTGCCGGCTGGTGCATACTATAACTTATTCCCCATTTCGTTACGTTTCGGTGCTGGCTCCGTGCTCCGGTCTCCAGTCTCCAGGCACAAAGAATGTCCTCTGTACCCCCCCCACACCCCACACCCATTCCTCAAGTTGCATTTCTGAAGAGGTGTGAACAGTGCGGTGAACAGCATTGATGGATTGGCTTCAATATGGGGCGATATATTCGTATGTGGTGATTTATCGAATGAAAGATGTGCAAACTGTACTCCCATAATGCTAGTGACATAAATCGTGATTGGGATATTGTGCATTGGCGGTTGAAGGATGTCCTCTGTGCGCTTGCGAATATCCCTTCCAAGTTCCCAAAAAATATCTTGAGTTTAAGGTTAGCATTCAAGGCATTCCAATAATATGCATAGTCCCATGGGCATTCAATATTCATTAAAATTGTGCATAGATTGATCGAATGTTAACCCTGAGAGGCAGTTCAGCGAGCTATCAAAAATATTCAACAAAACAATTAGTTTGTGGAATGAGTTTTATGAATTTATTTTCTATGGGAGAACAATTGAACAATTTTCCAATATATTGATACAAATAAGAAAGTTATCCATTAAACTTTGGCTTCGAGCTATCGCTTGATGTAACGATTTAAATCACTTTATATACCCAATTTGAGGGTTCATTAAATACAAATTGATGCATCTGCGATAGTTTATGGGGATGATCTCTATACAAATGATCGATTCTCGATCCAAATGCGCGTTTTAAATGATGGCAATAAGGGGGCGCGAAACTCACTGTGGGCACCGATATAGCACCCACGATAAAACAATCATCTTAATGGTGCGATTAAAATTTCATCACGTTAAATCATCGCAGCGAATTCGCAGCGAATCGAAATTGAAAAGCAAAACAAAAAAACAATATAAAATGAAAATGAAAATAAAAAGAAAATGAAAAGAAAAAGTTGTTTATCAATTATTCCAGTTTCAATCCATGAATGGACTTTGGTAATCTTTTTTTCCATCGCCCCTCCTCCCAAAGGTGATTCAGCGGGCTTTTTTTCCGCCCCCCTTTTTTTGTTCAATCTTCAAATATTGTTTTGGAGAAATTACTGACTGACTGCCCGACTGACAGACTGACAGACAGACAGACTGACTGACTGACTGACTGACTGAGAAATCAATCAATAAGCGAACGATATTTATAGAAAATCCCATCAAGGGCTGGCCCATAAACAATTGAATTTCATTTTTCGGCCTAGACAACAATGCGATTGCATTCCGCCACCAAAAATGATTTTAACCCAATTTTGCAGACAGAAAGAAATGAACACGTTCCCCATCTCCATCTCCACTGCCATGTACAGCGGTGGCATACATACATATTTAGTACGTATCTGTGGCATGAACGTGGATGTAGACTGTAGTCTATGGGTAGCGCCCCCAATGGGTCTCTGGTCTCTGGCCTGGTGTCTGGGGTCTGAGGTCTGGGGGCCCCCAACTATTATTAGCGGCACGCTCGACATGCAAACGTATAATGGATTTATATATATTGTTTTGTATACATATGTATATGTATATGTATATACTGGAGGAGAGAACTCATTACTCCGCAGGTGTTTCAGCATTTCACATTCTCAGTGTCAGTCTCAGTCCCAGTCCCTTTCTCATTCTCAGTCGCTGGGCTGTCCTTTTACCCCGGCCATTGGGAGGAGGAGGAGCCCCAAACACCACACAAAATCCTTCTTCATCTGCGGGTCCGTTGTCGTCCTCCTGCATAACTTTCGTCGTCCTGCATAATTTACACTTTTTCCCTGGTAGTATTTATAGTTGAATTATTGATTTTCATTACCAACATTTTCGAGTCCAGTTTCAAATTAGTTCTCTCTTTTTTTCGGGGGTTTACACTACACTCCTTCTTGCGGTCATTGAGCTTTTGTGTGGCATGTATGGCGTGGCATGCCCATGGCATTAGCGTTTGTGTGTGTGTGTGTGGCATGGCTTTGAAGCTTTTCCCGGCTTATCAGCTCTTGGAGGGCATCTGCTTTTCGTCCAGGATGTGAGTGTGTCCAAGGAAGCCCGAACTTCGTTCGAATAGTTCTACTTCTACAGAGCTTTGCGGTAGCTTTTCTTTTTTGTGTTGACTCTTTTTTGGTACTCAAGTTTTCTTTTCTTGAATTCTTGTGCAGATTATAGGCCTGCTCTTGTCTGTGTCTTCACTTACTTCTGACAGGCACTGTACTCGCCCATTGGTGCTTAGTACTCGCCCATAGGTGGTCTTTTCCACGTACATTGCAGTTGCGGTCAGGAGGGAGCTCGCTGGGATCACATTTTTCTTGTTGGAAGAATGTTTTGAATATTTGAATAGCTTCTAGCTATGATATTTCTCTCTCCCACATGTGCACCAGAAGCTTGGGCAGGGGGGGGTTCTGTTGGTAATGTAGATGTAGATGGTCCCTGATCCCATTTTTCGATTTGTATTATTGCTATAACTCTGCATTTTTCTCCTTCCAGATGTCAATTCAAAAGCTTAACGATAACACAAACTCGGGATACGTGAGCTCCGAGGAGACGGACTCCCTGCTGGTGAGCAGCGGCACACCCAAGGGCGGGGGCGGCGGCCGATCCGCCCTGCTGCGGCAGGTGAAGAACAGCACCTCAACCAATGGACCAACAGTGGCCACCACAGTGGTTACCACATCGCCATCCCCCTCGGGATCGGGACTGTCCGGCAATATGGCATCCGGGGGATCGGGCGGCAAGCCGACTTTGATGCGACAGGATCGCACCTCCACATATCTGACAAGTCCGCAACAGTCGCAGCAGCAACAGTCGCGTATGGGCTCTGAGGAGAGCATGCGCGGCGGGATGATGCAGCATGACGAGGATATTGAACAGGGACTGAGGGCAAATGCCTCGGCAACGGGAACATCTGGAACGGCAACCATGGTGCCCGACATTGAGGTTTACGAAGAAGAGGACCAAGATCCACAACAAACGCAAACACAGACCAATAATACATCGACGACCAAGCTGGAGCAGCAGCAACAACAACAACCGACCATATCAATTATGAATTTAAGCCTAAAGCACAACGAAGTGGTAGGCAGTAGTCTGGGTCCAAGCCCCAGTCCTGGGAGCCATCCCAATCTGGGCACCTCATCATATCAAAATCTGGCCTCCAGCATACCGCCGAGTGCGCCGAGTCGTTGTCGAGCATGCCGCAACTGCAGTCGCCGCGCTTCCACAACGCCCATATCCACCGGCCAGATGATTGACCGTTCCGCATCACGGGACAGCGTTAAGAGCGGCGGCAATCTCACCAGCTCGATGGCCATTTGCATATCAAACTCTGCCCTCCAGCAGCAGCAGCTACAGTCACAGCAGCAGCACTCATCGCACCCGCAGCAACACTTTCAGTTGCATCAACAGCTCCAGATCCAGCATCAGCAACAGCAACAGCTGCAGCTGTATCAGCATCACCAGCAGCAGGTGCCACCGGTGCTTATTACATCCTCCCCGACGAACGGGTCGCGCATCATTAGGCAGAGCTCACAGCCGGAGTCCAGCACCACGGCCATCTGTTGTGGCACGCACGCAACTTGCGTGGGGCATGCCCACTCGCACACGGTGCCCAATGTGTCGCTGAAACAGTTGCGCGAGAGCACACAAGATGGCATAGCCGGCATTGCAGCCGACTCCCTGCGTATCAACGGTGGCATGCGACCCTTCAAGCAGGTGAGAGCCATAGCCCATCCCATCCATATTCCCTAAATATATTTGCGCAGGGTCCCCGCTCCATGCAGCACCTGCAATGGGCATACCCAACCTCTATGTATCATATTGGATCCACAATTTCCATTATACATATGTAATATGTATATTATAATACTATAATATTCGATGTGCGATGTAGACACTGTTCGCACCACTCGATGTTCACTCGATCAACAAATTGTGTGCGTAGAGTGACCATCACATGACTCAACCCATATCTCAGATGACTATGGTCACACTGGTCGCACGAACATTGTAAACATTTTACGAACTTTTACTTAGTAACTTTTAATCCGTATTCTTATCTTAATAAACGTATATCCTATCCTATCCTGTAGATCAATCTTTCGTACTACTCGTTATATTTCTGAAAATATTTTCATGAAGAATTTCCAAACTCAAATAATATATTTATTTCGTTTTCGTTGTTGTGTTCTAATAATCATAAAGCGATTTGCTTACTTTGTTGTTTCTTGATTTTACGTTTATTTTTTGTTTTTCGGTCTAACGCTTTTCCAGCGCGGAAATCCAATTAGTGAAAATCAATATTGCTCATACGCGGCGTTGGCTGAACAATTATTTTGTTCATTTGTGCACTTTCCATTTTACTCGACCCTGCCCCCTCTCTCGTTTTCTGTTGATTCTTTGAGTGTTTTCCCTCTCTCTTTGGCCTTTTTTTTTTTTGGACATAATTAAAAATTTTGTTTACACGCTATTTTATCGAGAAGTGTGGAATGAGTAGAATAGTGGGGAAGGAGATGTGGCAGTAGGTGGCGCATGGAATGGGCAAGGGGATGTGGCACTTTCGTCTTGGTAGGTGGCCATTCAAGTGGATTTTCCCACAAAAAAACAGAAGGAACAGCAATTTAATTTTAATTGAAACATTTCCAACAGTACGAGTATCTGCGCTGCTGCTGCTTATTGCTTTTTGGCTTATGGGATTGTGTTAAGTGCCAGAAAAAGAGGTTTGGATGCGTGCCTAATTCTCACACAAATTTTCAAACGTTTGCCCCACCCCCCCCCCAACCCACCAATACATACATACATATATCAATATCTTTCGCTGGTTGGCCCGAAAGGCAGATATAATTATAATTAATATCAATATACGGCGACGTCTGAACTTTTCTTTTGGGGCTGCCCATAAATATTCGGGGGGAAAAAAATGAAATTTATGTACATATATAAAGACATAGATATTTATCTGGGGTATAAGGAAAAATGAAAATATCGTTTTCTTCATGCTGGAAGTGACCTTACCGGCCATGATTGATGAATGTTTTCACTCTTTGACATTTGCTGTCGCGTTTTTTTTATATTTTTTCCTATTTTTGCCTGTCCCGCACACCCTTTAGAGATAATTGCGTTTTGGAGGTCGGTCGTGTCTTTCGGGAATGGCTGCTGAAGGGAATCGTAGGAGTGTTGACTCCCGCTAGTCAATGTTGCGGTGAGCTTTTCGAGCGAGCAAAGCTTTATTTGTTTGAAAAACTAACGGTAAGGCCAAAGAGAAATAGCCGCAGGGAAAACGGGAGGAGGGCGCTCCACTTAGCATTTTGCCCGCCAAAAGCTTTCAAGGCACATTCAACATGAATAAAAACAGACAATAAAAATTGTATATTCTACTATGTCCGCCCCACTGACTGTTCAAAGCTTTGTCATTGCTTCCCCAAGCTAAATACGCTTTTGGAACCCCACCATTCGCCCCTCATGCTGTGCCACTGGTAAAAGCTCTAACGGATTTCAAGTTTTTGATTGTCTTATGTTTTTTTTTTATTTACCGGACTTTTTTTCTTGTTCCTGTTTTTTTTTTTTGCTCTGCAAAGCTTTTTCCCCACTTAATTATGCAACATAACATGCCATGAACTTTTCCACTCATCCTCAAATATTTACTTGCATATGTACATACATATGTATGTACCGACTGTTAGGCGAAAGTGCCGCAGAAACGTAAACTCTTTCTTTGCCCATTCACATAAGTATTTTTTCATGTCTATAACTAAATATATTCCATATGATATTTCATGAAATTTCATTCTAATAGTTCTAGCTATTAATATAGTATCGAATATCGCATAAGTTGGTATATAATGTATCTAATATCTATGTAGTTGCGATAGAAATATCTTTTATATTACTTATATGCATACTACAGTGCGTTTCAGAACTGTCAAAAAATTATCGATAACAATTACGATATCATTTCGATGAAAAAATTTCAATCAGTTCCGGAATGCACTGTATCCGTAGGAATCTCAACTAATGTCCAACTAATTTATGTCTCAACTATTGTCTATGATATGTATGGAAAGTGCTTAACTCAATCCCCTGCGTCTCGTTCCCCATTCCCCCCCGCCAAGACCACCCAAACCCGACCAATCGGAATCTTTAGCTTTCCTCCGCTCCAAGAAGTAAACTAACCTAGAGACTTACTAACTAATCTGTACTAATCACCTATCGCAACCACTCTCACAATTCTCTTCAGGGCGTTCTTCTAATGCCACGCACCTTGTCCGAAAGCCGAAAGTTGAGACTTCGAAGGGCCTTCACCGAGGCCACTAACGAAACGCTCCAAAGCTCCAAAATGGTATTTAACAAAAAATAAAAAATTAAACCCAAAAACAACAACAACAAAACCAATTACAAAAGAAATATACACCGAATGAAAAGTATACAATCAAAAAAAAAAAAGCCCATTTTCAAAAACTAATAATTTTGTTTTATGTGGATGTACATATATACTCGTAAATGTTTAGAATGAAACAAGAAAACAAAACAAAACAAAACAAAACAAAACAAAAAAACTAAAACTATGTGAACCAGTTCGTACGAGAGTAGTTCCAAAAGTTCCAAGCTATTTCCAATGGCACCAACCCCGCCTCGACCCCTCGCCGGTCATGTAGATTATTGCTTAATGCTATTAAATGGCTTTTGCCAATCCGATTTGCGTTTTGCGTTTCTACCTAGTCTGCACTGCCTCGATGTCCAATTGAATCCTCTAGAAATTTCACCAAAAAAAAAATAAAAAACAAAAATGAGAATGAGAAAAACCAAAAAACCAAAAAAAACCGAAAACCGTTTTAATGATTGTTGAGCATTTTGGCTGCTTGAAATTCCACATCCCATAGTTGCAATCCACTGTTTCCTGCCCCAATCCACTTCCACTTCCGCATCCGCATCCGCATCCTGTATATGTCGCATTCCACTTGCCCATTCATCAGCTTTCGCATGCGATATATTCGATCTGTAGATTCCACTTTTGGCATTCCCTAGCTCCATTCCCGTTACTGCATTACAGCAGGCCAATCACTTTCCACTTTCACATCAATCTCAGCCTCCTCTCACTTAACAAAGCTTTGCTCGTTGTTCTGTAGTTTTGTGGATCGCACACAAACTCCTGTCACATCCTATTAATGGTACTACTATGTTTTATGTATGTATGTATTATTGATCAGCCAGGTAAGCCGTATTTTTATTTGCACCCATTCCATTTTAAATGGCAGCACTTATTGTAGATTAAATGTACTTTTTAAATCATGTACTTCTATCGATAAGCTCCATCCACAGCATTCTATTGGGGTGCATACAATGTGACGGGTAATTTTTATTTTTAAGGGTATTCAGCGGGTCGGTCATCGTTTTGGGCAGCGGTACCATTAGGGAAACGTTTTATTTGCTGCCAAATATTCATTTCCATGACGTGGACACGATCAGGTGTTCCATTCATCTCCCCGTTCCATGGGGAGCACCCAGCTAACGGATGTCTCTCTCAGCACATGCCCCTCGTTTCCGTTGCTGCCCATTAGCGACTCTCTCCACCTGTTGGCCGCTCTCTCTCTCTCTCTCTCTCTCTTCCTGCTGCTTCACTCGTTCCAGATTTGCTTGCGCGATCATTCCACGTGCTGCTGGACCACTACCATACCCCGGGGATCAAAGTGTATTAATTTAGGGTGAGGCATTGCACTCACTAAAGCTGCCCTTTTTGTTTCAGTTTAGCTGGAAATATCTAGGGAGAAAGAGAGAGAGAGAGAGATAGTTGCTAAACTAATACATAGATAACTTTCCTCACCATATAAATATGCACCTTGCTGCTGTCCTCTTCTCTCTCTTACCCACCAGTAGCTCTGCTCTCTCCACCTACTGCTGCTGCTGCTGCTGCTGGTGCTGCTGCCTTCAGCTCTCGCGCCTCGTCTCGTCTCGTCTCGCCCCGCCTCGCCACCTGCCACCTTCTGTGCACTCGGCATCCACCTTCCCAATCGTGATCCACCCCACCCACATTTACGATCCACGAGCAGCGACGCGTGCTCCGCGAATCGGCTGTTCTGTTCCGTTGTGTATTGGCGGAACAAAATGGGAGACGAGACGAAAAGGCAGACCGAGGAAAAAAAAAAGGAAAGAAAAGATGGGAATATAAATATAATTTTTGGGGGGGCCAACCATTTGTGCGTCGTCGTTGCGCTGCGTCGGAAGGGATCATCGCTGGTCCGTTGTTTCGCTGCTAAATTGCTGGCTTCACCGTTCCAGGTCTCTGTCTCTCGCGACTGAAAGTACCAAAAGTTTATAATAAATGCCGATTGGGTCTGCTGCCTTCTGTTTACATTCTGGACAATTACGCAGCCAAAATACCAAATCAAAATCAAAATCAAATTCACAATCCCCATCCGAATCTCAATCCAAATCACATTGGAAAGTTCGCTGCTGCGGTTCCTGGTCGCGTGCGCTCTCGACTGCATTTTGTGCAAGTGAAACGGAAAGTGCTATTTCTTTTTTTTTGTTGATTGTGGAAACAGTTATACTACACCTTGCTGCAGGCTCTGGACTCCAGACTCTCTCTCTCTCCCTCTCTCTCTGGCCGCTGCTCCAATGTGAGCATTTATTTGCCTTCTATTTTTTTTTTGTGCCTTTCGGTCCACAGTGAGATTGTGCGAGGAAGACCCGTGTGTGTGAGTGAGTGAGAGAGTGGGGGGAGTGTGCACACAAAGGATATTTGATATTAAACAAATAAGAGGAATTTGTACGGGGGCACCCAGCCCCAGAGCATGTCGCCGGCCTCCTGCATGGAGAACGAGTGCAAACCGGGCACTCTCTACCAGAAATGCCTGACCGTCGGCAATGCCACACTTGCCGCCATGCCGCCACCATCATTGCCACTGCCGCTGGCCACGCTTGCCAGCCTCATCAGCCATGCCGCAATTGATGCCATCGGTATCGCCAGCTCCAACACCGACACACTCGCCCTCGCCTTCGCCCTCGCCATCGGCATCGGCGTCGCTCGCCCTCACCGTCACTATCGTTGACGTCGACGCGACCGTCGCCATCGCAGCGACTGGCACCCGCTGCCCCAGCGCCACAAGCGTTACTGTCTTCGTCGCTGCCAACAGCAGACGCAGACGCAAACGCAAACGCAGACGCAACAGCGGCTATGACGCGCACGGTTAGCGTTGGAGGAGGCGGCAGCGGTGGCGCCACATCCACGGCACGCCGAAATTCGCTCTGGCTGGAGACCCTGCGGAACACGCGAAAACTGTCCTACGCCAATGAGCGACCCATTCTGGTAAGTGGTAAGTGCCACCACACAGCACAGCGGCCGACCAAAACCAATGACGTATAATCCTTATCCGCGTTCCCCCACCCATATCCACCCCGTCCTATCACTATTTCCATTCCCATTTCCATTCCCATAACTTTGGATCATTTCCATTTCGCATTTCGTTGGCAGCTTCCACGTGCCCCGCCGCTTTGCCCACTCGGCGACGCTGCCGCCTAGCCAAAAGTCCGCCGTTCGTCCAAAACTATAAAAATAAATAAATCGCACGACGCCCATGCTCTCGCGCTCTCTCTCTCTGCCACACTCTCTCTGCCACTCTCTCTCTCTCTCTGCCACTCTGTCCGGCTATCTTTGTTGCCGCCTCTCTCTCTCTCTCTCTCTTTTGAGCCATTTGAAGTTATTTTCAACCAAAAGCATCTGCAAACACACAGACAAACACACAGGAAAACACAAATAGGCATGGACACCAGCGCCAGTGGCCAGGGATAGCGATCGAAGGCAGCTGATGAGGCAGAGCACCGCAAGATTGATACCCTGCTTGGGGCATACGAGTGGAAATAGATAAATGAATACGGGATAAAGTTACTTCAAGTTCTGGAGTCTGACAAAAGGAAATAGTGAACTGAAGATGAGATTTCATGGGAAAAGTAGGAGCCTCAAATGGGTTGGTAGCCTGGAAAGGAAGCTGATATGTAATCACAATATTAATTGGAGGGGAATATGGCATTGTGTACATACATATTTATGGATTTATAGAGGCATAAATATGTATGATAACTGAGCAAGAGATTCTGAATATTGGCGGAAACAATACTAGAAATTAGTTTTCCATTTCTGCCGCTTTATTCCCTTGGTTTTCCTATTCCTATACCAAAGGGGCAACTTTGCAATTATTTTTTCTGAAGAATTCCCAAAAAAAGAGATGTATACACTGAATTTAATCGAAGATCATTTTAATTTTGCGAAAAAACTCGTAAATAGAATGGAAAGTAGGAAATAAAGAAAAGCATTTATCTAGGAGAACAACTAGGAGAATCATTTTACGCAGGTGAAATTTATTCCACGAATAAAATGTCTGGTATGATGCCAGGCTGAACCCATGAAGGGAACAACTAGAACAAATACCCTGGAACATCGGGCATGCAAACGCTACCCAGTAGCGTTGCTGGCCCTTCAGGTTAGTGGGTGGGTTGGGGGGCTTAGGGTCACGGGCTATGAAAGCAATAACACAAAACAAATGTGGGAAATATACACATCAGCGGCGAGCGGCGAGAGACAGAGAGGGAGAGAGAGAGAGAGAGAGGGAGAGAGGAGATCATCTATTCCATCAGCAGCTAAAGACAAAAGTTCGTTCAAGTGTTCGAAGCGTATCCATCGGTGGTAATGCATGTGCGAGGAAAGGGCAACACAAATACGTTCTTTGATATATTGTTTATGCGGGGGAAAACGATTTCGATCGGGGATCATCATCATTAAATGGGTGAATGGGGTAAATGGGGTAAATGGGCAAAATGGGAAATGAAATGGTGAATCTGGATGGAAAAAACTCTTGTAGAAGTGTTTTGCTGATATTGTTTACAGCCCCCCCCCACCAACACCTCAGTCCAGATATGGCATACCTACATACAATATGCGAAGTATAGTGCAGGATCAGAAAAGAGAAGAGATACGCGGAAAGCGATGCCAAGCCTATAATTTGGTTCTGCCCGAATCAGTGGCATGGGACTCATGGGACTTCATCGGTTATTCAGTTTAAATTACTAGTTACATCAGACATAATAAATGGTCTTATAGATTGAGACGCCAGTTCCGTTGGTTTAAACAATAGTTTAAACATCGACACGTAATTAATGGCTAATGGAAAGAAAGGAACTGCACAAAGAGAGAGACAGAGAGAGAGAGAGAGAGAGACCAGCGACCAGCGACCTCTACTCTTCGCTTTCGGTTCGCTGAGATCGGGGACAACGGCAAACGGACATGAATTATCGATGCATCCATCCACGACATGTGCCTGTGTGTGGCATAACATATTTAGATGA